ATAATAGAGCAGCTCCCAGAACCTTTATTGCTTTTAGGTGACTTCAATGCGCATAGTACATTATGGGGAAGTAGGGACACTAATTCAAGGGGCCGGCAGATCAAACAATTAATGAAAGATCACTCTATTTGTCTCCTTAAAATAATGGAGAATACACTTATTTTCATCAGTTGACTAGAACCTTTCGTGCAATTGATCTGTTTTTTTGTTCTCCATCTCTACTACCTGTCTGCTCTTTCAGTGTAGGGGAGAATCTCTACGACAGTGACCACTTCCCAGTCATTGTAAATATTACAGGGAATTCAAAGATCTCAAGACAACCACGCTTACTTTACGATAAAGCTGATTGGGATCTTTTTGAATCTTGTGCTGTGCTGACTTAAGAAATGGTCAACGATGTGGACATTAATACTGCAGTAAAAATGATCTCTGATACTATTGTACAAGCTGCTGAACTCTGTATTCCGAAGACCTCCACAAAGTTCCCTAAACCCTGGTGGAGCAATGATTGTCATAAAACTTCGAGAGAGCAAAAGAAAGCTTGGCATATCTTTCGCAGTTATCCAATACAGGAAAATCTTCTTGCCTTTAAAAAAGCTAAGGCAAATGCAAGAAAAGTGAGGTGGCAAAGTCTGAGAAAATCATTGGCTGCCTACGTGTCCACTATTACCTCCTCAATGTCTAGCAAACAGGTTTGGGAAAGAGTCCGCAAAGCCTCTGGACTCTAGAATGATTATTCCTTTTCTGTTCTAGAAAAAGAAAGTTGATTAGCACTAGAGAAGAAATAGGGATGCTTTAGGTGATACATTTGCTGCTGTATCTGGCACTAGCAATTACTCAAAAGAATTTCTGCCCACAAAGATGTGCTTGGAAAGGATTCAAATCGACTTTTCAAATCCTAATGCAGAATAATAAAGATCTCATCATGTTTGAATTAAGAATGTAATATCTCGCACTGATAGGACTTGCCCTGGTCCTGATGGCATAAGTTATTTGATGATAAAGTACCAGCCCTATGAATCTCTAGTGGTCTTTCTTGCTCTTTATAATAAGATATGGAAGGAACAAATTTTTCCTACTGCTTGATGCAGGGCCTTTGTTACCCCTATAGTAAAACCCGGCAAGGACCCAAAAAATCCTTTAAATTATCGCCCCATCGCGCTCACTAGCTGCCTTTGCAAGATCATGGAAAAAATGGTAAATCACCGTCTCACCTATTATCTGGAGACTAATCATTGCCTATCGCCTTATCAAAGTGGTTTCCATAAGGGAAGATCTTCACTTGATAATGCCCTGTTTTTAGAAACCGCAGTACGCAATGCATTTGTGAAAAGAAATCATGTGGTTTCAATCTTCTTTGACATGGAAAAGGCGTATGATAGAACTTGGCGGCATGGAACTCTTCATGACCTTTACAGCACTGGATTGCAAGGTAATCTACCCATCTTTATTCAAAACTTTTTGAAAGACCGCACTTTCCAAGTCAAGATTGGGTCATTGCTCTCTCAAGTATTTGTACAACAAGAAGGTGTACCCACAAGGTTAAGTGCTCACTGTCACTCTTTTCAGCCTGAAAATTAATTCCATTTTAAGAGAACTTCCTTCCACAGTGCACGGTTCCCTGTATGTTGATGATCTATTGTAAAGGTCAAGATATGAGATACATTGAGAGACAACTACAAATTGCTGTTAATAGAATCATAAAGTGGTCCAACAACAATGGTTTTAAATTTTCTAGCCAGAAGACAGTCTGCGTGCACTTCTGTCGTAAAACAAATCTACATCCTGATCCAGAGCTGCATCTTCACGGCTCTTTGATCCGTGTTGAGCCAGAAGCAAAATTCTTAGGAGTTATATTTGATAGAAAGCTCACTTTCTTTCCGCGTATCCTAAATCTAAAGAAAAAATGTGCTAAAGCTCTCAACATACTGAAAGTCCTGGCCAATACCTCATGGGGAGCAGAATGTTGTTCTATGCTCCACATTTATAGAGCTTTAATCCGTTCCAAACTTGACTATGGCTGTGTTATCTACGGATCAGCATGACCTTCTGTGCTCCTGAAAATGGATCCAGTCCACCATCAAGCGCTACGGATTTGCTCTGGAGCCTTCAGAACATCTCCAGTCCAAAGTTTATATGTCATCTGTTTTTGAACCTTCTTTGGAATTCAGACGCAAGCAGTTATCAATTGATCTTCATTATAAAGTAATGTCACAGGCCGAACATCCTGTCCGACTCATGACATCTGATCAGTACATCAGATGTCATGAGTCGGACATCTTCACCATGCCCGTCCTTCATGTATCCCACCTTTTGATCTTCGCATTCACTCACTGATTGAAGAATTTAAGCTAAATGATCTGCATCCCAAAAGCTTTGACCTTTTCGGTACTGCTCCCTGGCAAGAAGTGAACATTCACCTACTTAACATTTTTGGAGAACTAAAGAAGAGCAGTACCAATGATATCCATTACCAACAAATTTTCCAAGAGCACAGAAGCAGTTATTCTAACTACAAAGCAATTTTTACTGATGGCTCAAAGAATCATGACCACGTCGGGGTAGCTTTTGTTTGTGATAAAGAAATAAAGAGTAGTAAACTTCATAAGGCTGCATCTGTCTTTACTGCGGAAACGTTTCCCATTTTGAAAGCCTTAATCTTTATTTCTAGGCAGAATAGCAAAAAGTTCATTATCTACTCTGACTCTCTGAGTGCTCTTGAATCAATAAATAAAAATACCAGCCACCCTTTGGTCTTAGAAATTTTAAAGGCACACCACCATTTGAGAAATGCAGGTTATTATATCGCGTACTGCTGGGTGCCTGAACATGCTGGCATCAAAGGCAATGAACTCGCCGATATTGCAGCAAAATCTGCTGATATTACCTCAGAAAACGATGTCCCTTTTACAGACATACGGAATTACATTAGAACAAAGGTCTTGTTCAAGTGGCAAGAATTCTGGGAATGGCAAACTCTGAACAAATTAAGGCAGGTAAAACCCAATTTGGAGTACTGAGAGTCGTGAGGGAATCGAAAGGAGGATGTACTACTGACTCGCTTACGAATTGGTCATTGCAGACTGACACATCAGTACCTTTTGAAAGGAGATAATGAGCCTATTTGTGGCACTTACAACGTTCCTATTTCAGTCAATCATATTTTAACCTGCTGTTCTGCTTTTAGTCAGAAACGTGAATTTTATTTTAACTCTACGAATGTTAACTTAACAGATCTCATTGGAAGAAACCCTCACATCAGCCTCATAAGTTTTTTAAAAGACATCTCCTTTTATCATATGATTTGAACTACACTTTATCCTGCTCTACCTGTTGTTAGAGCTTTTTTCAGTCACTTCTGCCTGGACATTTTAAAGTCATTAAGTAAACACATTATGCGTTTACGCATGCGCAGAAAGTTTGTAGCTTTGAGTTCCGGATTATGGACGTCCGGATTAAAGACTTTATACTGTATATATATAAATGTTCTTTCTGGGATTCATAATCTAAACAAGTCAATGTCCACTCAAAAAAAAAAAAAAAAAAAAAAGCTTTTTTGCTTGTTTATGATTTATGCCATTATTTTGTTTTGGACTCTTATCTACTCAATTTTTTAAAATTTATCTATTATATTGAAATCTTTTTTTAATTTGTCTATTATATTGCAATCTTTTAAAATTTTTCTATGTTTTTGATGCTTTAATTTTGCAGTTTTTTTGCACTATTTATTCACCAATTCAACCAATTTATTTTTGCACTATTTTTGCATGTGGTTTAAAACATATGGTTTATTTTATTTTGCATTAAATATATATACTACGTTTGATACTGCCAATTGCAATAAAAAATAGAAATGCACAACTACAGGTTATAGCAATACCATATATAAAATTTCAATGTTCTCTATGGCTAATCATTTGTGGATTATGCAAGATACATTCACACATACAGACATCATGAAAACATCCATCCTGAATCCACTTTGAAATAAAGAGTGCTTTATTCTGCTTGTATGCGCAGACATCAAGCAAAAAAATAGTTAAAATGGATTCAGGAACGGTCAAAATGAGTATTTTGGTTGAAATCTGAAAACTGAAATTTTTCACACTTGGTATTTAAATTGAGAAAATGAAAAAGAAAAGGTCACCTTGGGACATTGCTACTTTCTTTAATTTATTGCAGTTTTACTGCATTTACAGATCTTTTCTTCAGTGTGGTTCTTTGCTTTGTTTTCATTGCCATTAGCATCCTCAGTAATTTTAATTTTCAATTTCTTTTACTATTTGTTATTTTGAATGCTTGCTAATTATAATCATGGCTAATTTCCATTTTCTCAACTCTTTATAAGCTCAAGCTTTTAACATGCTTACAAAATTTTTCACTCCATATAAATATATAATTTATTTACATTGTACACAGTAAATAAGTATACACAAATATAGACATTCCACAAATACTGCATAGTGGTATTCATTGCTTTGAATAGAAACTAACCAAAAAATTCATAAATATATAATCCACAGTTTTTCAGGGAAGGGAGAACTTGTCTAAAAATTAAGATGACTTATGTCATGTAAGAAAAAAAAGTTTATAAATACAAAATATTAAATGACAAATATTAAAGCTCAATAAAATCAAAGTGTTAATTTATCAATAGCAGCATGTTTTCTAAAGTATAAATGCTGGTTTTTTCACTAGCTTAAGCATAGAATGCTTTCCAACATGCAAAACTTGCCTATCATTTGACAGGCCAAAGTTTTTTTTTATGGTTAAATGGATATCAATAATTTATACACAATACAAATGTACTTAAAAATTGCATATATTATACTCAACATTGCAAACATATCATTGTCAATTATAATAAGAGTTTATTTTAAAACTGATTGAGTTTAAAATAATTTGAAAAAAATATTAAGTTTAAAATAAAATTCAGATTTTTTCATCATATGTGATGTCAGTACTTTTTAAAATTAAACATTTCTTCAATGAAAAATTACCTGGATATTTCTTTCATATGTGTTCAGCGTATACTCTGCAGTCACTTTTGTTGTACCAGGTTCATGATTTGTGACTTTCCAAGCTTGATGAGGTGTTGCCCATCTGTTGGGGGGGGGGAATCCAAGTTTAACATTAAAAATAAGTAATATATTTACTGATTAATATTTTTTAAAAAGGAAATACTCAATTTTTATTATTTCTTCTCAGAAAATCAAATAACTTCTTCTGTAATTAAACTCTATCGATTAATTTTAAATATAACTTACATTTTACTTTTAAAAAAAAGGCTTTTTTTAATTTAAATTACTTATACAATTGATAATAATTCAAAAACAATCAAATTAAAAAATCCAATAACACTCTAATCTGGAAAAAGAAATTGTAAAATTAAAACAAAGATCTAGAATTATATTGTAGTTCTATTTCTTCCTATATAGCAGGGGTTCTCAACTGGTGGTACGCAAGAAAAAATAGGTGGTATGCAAAGAAGCAACGCATTTTTCACTATTAAATTCAAAAATTAAAACCTAATTCATAATTTTTTCGATCTGAACTTTGTTCAAGGCCAATAGCTGCTTATAAGTGAACGATCTGTCTGCATGGCAGTTTTCGTGGTTCTTCCATGTTGCAAGCTTAACAGATATTCTCTTAGCTGTAGACATAAAAAAATTTGCCATAAATCATATTTTTAAAAGAAGTGATAGAAATGGATGCTGTATTTAATAGGAAATAAAAATAAGTTCTTGTAAAAAAGATGATAGTATCTCGTTGTCTTAGAGTTTATCGATTTATTAGCATGTCAGCACTATATGTCGCCATTTCTGGGCTCAAACTGCTCCATTTTCAATAAGAATCTTTTTTTTTTTTTTTCCCCCCCATCGGTTTGCAGTCTTCACCATCAGGTATTTTCTCTTCCTGTTGCTTTGTATTCCTTACTTTTCTACGTGATTTGAGAATATCATCGTCTGTTTTTGAAGAACTTGTAATATATTGTGCATTTAAATATTTGTGAAAAAAATAATTTAACAAAAACCTAGATTTTCAAAATGGAAAAATGGCTAGGATTGATTAAGTGGAAAAGTGATGATTCACAGCCTGATGGATCCAGGACAACCTATTAGCCCTAAGAATATTGATAAGAAAAGAAAAGTTGTTTCTAGAAAATATAATGAAAGTTATTTATCATTTGGATTTACTTGGAATGGAGATGAAATGGCCCTCGACCTCAATGTGTTGTTTACAGTGAACTCTTATCCAATCAGAGTGAGAAACCATCATTTTTTAAAAGACATCTTGAATCTAAGCATGCCAATTTAAAGAATAAATCTGAAGAATATTTTAAGTGGAAATTATCGGATTTAAGAAATAGTTATGAAAGTAATGAAAGGTTTTGTTATTTCAAGTGAAAAAGTAACAAAACCTTACTTGGTAAGCCTAAGAAGCACCTAAAGATAACGTTTTAACATTATTCAATGAAAAAGCAGTTAATGAATTTAATAATACTCTGTTATCATATGATACAGTAAGTCGATGAATTCATGAAATGACAGATTCCATAAAAGAGACACTTCAAAAAATAAAACACAGTGAGTATTTTGCCTTGGAATTGGATGAAAGTACTGCTATAATGAACTTTGTTCAATTATTAGTTTATATACGTTTCACAGAAGATAAATGAATTGCTGAAGACTATTTATTTTGTGAATCTCTTCATGATAGAGTAACTGCAAGTGAAATTTTCAAAGTAATTGACAATTTATGTCTGAGAATAATATTCCTTGGAATAAGTGCTTTGCTGTATGCAGTGACGGAGCTCGGGCCTTTAACAGGAAAAATATTCCCGAATGATTCCTTAAACAAAGAAAGTCACACCTGTAACTAAATTTACTCACTGCTCCATACATCGTGAAGCTTTAGTAGCCAAAACAATCCCTGAAAGCCTGAAAATCATTTTAAACGAAGCTATGAAAATTGTTAATTTTATTAAAAGCCAAGCTTTAAATTCAAGAATATTTACAATTTTATGCCAAGACATGAGTAGTGCGCTTCTGTTACATTCTGAAGTAAGGTGGTTATAAAGAGGAAAAGTTTTAAATCGTCTTTTTGAACTTGAATCAGAAAGTCAAATTTTCCTCTCTGATTCAAAATTTGAATTGCAAAAATGTTTATTTAGTGAATTATTGTTGGCGCATTTAGCATATTTAGCTGATATTTTTGGAAAGTTAAATGAATTAAATTTATGATTACAAGGAAGAGTGTTAATTTGTTTACCATTAGAGGTAAAATGAATGCAATGATAAAAAAACTCGTTCTAATTGTCAAAGGCCTGGATAATAACATTTTAAACTTTTTAACCACTTTTAGAAAGTTTTCTAACCAAAAACAGTTTCAATAATAAAAGAAGAATTAGCATCCGACAGTTGAAAATTACTATTTTTTACTGATAAAAAAATTCAACATGTATTTTCCTGAGGATTATGAAAAAGAAAATTGGATTAGAAATCCATTTTTCCAAATGTACCTGAAATTTTATCTTGCGAAGAAAAAGAACAATTGATAGAAATATCCTGTGATCGAAATCTAACTGAAGATTTAAAAAATAATGCTCTCGTTAACTTTTGGCTGAACCAAAACAAAGAATTTAGAAGCATTTCAAATAAAGCTATTAAATTTTCATTGCCTTTTTTTTACAGCCTATATGTGTGAACAAGGATGTTCTTCAATGTTATATTTAAAAAATAAATACAGAACAAAATTAAATCTGGTTTCTAATTTATGCTTAAAACTAAGTGAAATAACACCAGGCATAAAGAAATAGATTTCTCTTAAACAGGCCCAAGTTTCGCACTTAATTTTAGAATTAAAGTATTTTAACTTAAATTCTGATAATTAAAATGGTAACCAATTTTTAATCTAATATTTTTATGTGTGCATATTTAATTAAAAGAGCCAATAGGTTGTGCAAATGGCAAAATATGTTTTAATTCAAAGGGCGTTAGCCCAGAAGGGCTATTAATTTCAAAATGGCATTTTGCGTCAATTCTCTTTTCAAACTGTTGCCACCAGATATTATCGCCATGTATTATATTTAAGGAAAGTAAATAATGAAGAATCTGCTTGAATGCGCGAGTTTTTCTCGCACTGTGAAAAAACAACGGTAATTTTGAATTTGTTTATCATTTATTTCAAATTTTGAACAACTTTAACAAATTTTTCATTAACAAACTCAACGATTTCACAGCGAGCAGTGGCAACACTAAACAAACAACAACAAAAAATTATAATCTCCATCGCGCGACACTGTGAATCAGAAATTCTAAAGATATGCTCTTTTCAATATTTTTTTATATTGCTGTTGAATTGAATTTTATGGTTTATGTGTGAAGAATATGATATTTAATAAATAAAGGTGACACAGAAAAAATTAAAAAAAAAAAAGCCCCTTTGAGCATAATGTAAAATCTCAAAGCTTTCAGAAATTTTTTTTAATATTTCTATTCAGAAATTGAAAAATAATCATTGTAAAATGTAGTGGTGGTACTAAAGGTTTTTAATTTTTGTTTAGATGGTATGTGTTAATCAAAAGGTTGAGAACCGCTGCTATATAGCATACATTTACTTCCTTAATAGGTTTGAAATATGCTACTGCAATACCCAAATTTATGGCACTTTACATTTTTTGCTAGTCTAAATTAGCCTCAAAAGTAAATTATTCCTCATCATACCACAAAGAGTTTCATTTTTAAAATTAATTACAGAAATATTGAAAAGCTCAAAACTGAATTTTTTCTTCTTTTTGAAGTTATTACTATTTCAATATTAAAACCACTGCTTAGCTGTTTATAAACTCATACCATAAAGTTTACTTTCACTGCAAAATTTCTGCGTTTAGATGTTTTTACGTGAAAAGAAAAGAAATATAGTAAAACATTACATTGTCAAAACAGGGTTCATAGCCACATTTTAGTTAAAAAAATAAGCACCTATAAGCACTTTTCAAGCACATTTTTAGAAAAAAAATAAGCACCTGTCTAATTACATTATACACAACTGCATAACCTTAAAAATTAGACTTGTAATTTAAAATATGAGAAATGCAGTATTTATTAAGAGAGAATAAGCATTACCTCAACCATGGAAAATAATTACTTTTTTTTTTTTTTTAAATTTTAAATAACAGTTCAATTTACAGAACTAGTTTATAATGAGAGAAAAAGAAAAAACCTATGCTGAACTAAACTATATTACAAGATTTAATGATGAAATTTCAGTTCAAAATAGAGAAAATAAATAATAATAAGGCATATTTATTGTATTCGCTTGGAACCTAATAATAAGTACAATTTATTTTTCCACTCATATTGATATTTAAATAATTTAAATCTAAAATCTGAACATTTTCTAAATTTTCATTGTATATCAGTTTTCCCTTAACAGATATTGCAAGCAAAGTAATGTAAGTAAAAAAGAGGAACATTTCTGAAATCAGAAGACAGAAATTTGCTTCATGCAGTCATCCTTTAACAGTAAAAGCTTAACTAACCTGCATACTTGGAAATTGGCGAATATTCGGACAGTCGAGTGTAACTTGAAAAAGAGGAGCGGAGGGGGGGGAGGGGTAGACTGTAGCCGCTCTTTAGATTTTTCCACTAAATTAATGCTTTTGACATTTTGATATGTGCATCATACAAAAATAAACCAATGGAACTGAAAAATATTCTGCTTAGCAAGCACAGTAAAACTCTTTTAAGTGCTCATAAACAAATCTCGGACCAAACATCAAAACTAATTATCTCTGCAAAATATCGCAAACGTTATTGCGCAATACGTGTGCCGTAATTCTTCCCTACGTGATATTACACAATCGGAATCAACAACTGCTGGTATTGGGAGAATAAAGAACTAAATAACTGGTGTTTTCCATTCTAATTTTGAACAGACGGCGTTAAATTTACGGAATAGAATCATTCTTCGCTTGGGTTGGTAGACCGCAGAACTTTTAGTCCTATTCAATCCAGATTGAAAAAAAAAAAAAAAAAAAAAAAAGAGGTCCGTTGCTGTTTTCCAGCGAACTGTAACAGTTTCAATATTCAAGATTTTGC